TGTGTGTGTGTGTGTGTGTGTGTAATGAGAAGTTTTACTTTGTATATTTAGTTTCAAACCACTTTGGAGTTATTATAAAAGGTTTGGAATTCTTCCAACATGCCCTACTTAGGTAGTAGTGGGATATAGTCCGATCCTGTGCTGTGTAGAAGGTGGCACTGATTTGAGTTAACAAAATCCACCACAGTAATCATCAAAAGTGAAATTTCTATATCCTATAATCAGGAGTTGCTGGGCATTTGATTAAATACCCCAGGCATTTTATTCCCAACCCACTTTCATTTCTCCCCCCAACTGGCAAACCAGAAAACTTAGCCCCTAAACCTGAAGAAACAAAGTGTGTATTTTAATCCAGAAATGCTTTTACCTGCCATCCTGCTGTGAATGAAATGGGCTGGGCTTTCAAAAAGTTAGTCAGCTTATCTCCCAGTTGGTGGCACTGGGGAAATGTAGTCAGGCAGTCTTATTTCTGTCCTTCAGCTGCCAAGTGGAACACAATAGAGGAGTCAAAGGAGGCAGAAGAGAGATGGATACAAAAAGAACCCGAAGGATGACGAGAGGCAAGCAAAGCAAGTGTTGCTGAGTCAGAGACACTGGGTCTGGTGACGGTGCCATCCCAGACAGTCTGCACCCTGAAGATAATCCTAACTCATTGACCTGCCATTTCCCCCAAGAAATTCCCAATACGCAAATCAAACTTTTAGGAAAACCCATAAGATATGGTTAATGTAGAAGGAAAATGACTACTTCATTTGGCTCAGATATAGATAATATATATTTAACATATTATGGGAGATTGCAGTTTAATATTCTTGATAGACAATGAAAAAGAGTCCTTTCATTTTGAGTGATACAGTATGTAGATTGAACGAAGAGGGATAGACTTGGGAGCATCCTGAATTGTGTCCACAGGTACCTGGAACCACATGTGTCTAGCTCCTGACCATCCCACCCTTGGCTTTTTTACTTTCTATTCTTCTCATGGAAGCATTGTATTATTGCAAGAGTAACCACAGGTTGCTATTTATCACAAATTTTTTATTTTGTATTTTAAATTCAGTGCACTTGAAAGTATGCTGTCATCTTTGGTTGGCTCACATTTAAGAATTTACACACCAGATGCTAACCCTCAGCAAGGATTAGCAAATAGCATGCCCTTCCCCCATAAGAATTATAATGCATATCATTTACATTCTATTTACATACATTGCATGATATTGAATTATAGCTTTCCAAGCTGAAAAAAATGAATAAAAGAACAAAAATAATTTGTTTTATGTAGAAATGTAGTCATAAGTATCCTTATTTTAAACATTTCAAAAAGGTCATTTTAGACAGTACATATGGAATATACATATATACATCTCTCCACCGAACTAATAAATGTAAAGTTTCATAAGAATGGGACAGGGGTAGAATCTAATACAATCTCAATATACTTAATAAAAACTCTTACCTCGTCAGATGGGAAATCCAAAAACGTTCACTTTCTTATTATTTCACTAATAATGCTGCATCTTTCTATTTAAAAAAAAAAAATAGAACAGTGACTTGGGGCACAACCAGAGTCAGGATATTAGCTTGGTGATCCAAAGTTCAAGTAGAGATTGTAAACAATGTTTAGTGTTTCAGACAATCTGAAAGTTCAGGCTAAGAAAAAAAGAATAAGATTTTCTATTGGTCAAATTTTAAAGAATCAGTACCAAAGTTCATCGCATTCATTACCATGAACTTGCTATCATTCAGATTTTAACTTTCTTGTAATCAATTTCTGATTGTACAAATGAGTATAACTCAGGTGTCCCTAGACAATGTAAAGTTGTAATGTGCCTATTTCCTACTTTTAAGCCTGAATTATCCTCATTAATCATTGACTCAGTTCAAATTCATTATAAAAATAACCAATTTACCACCTCACTTCACACGAGGAGGACAATTCTATAAAAGGTGGGCCCCAGGATGGAATGTACAGGTACTACCTGGGGACAGATGAGCATGAGCATGTGTGGGTAACTTAAATTGTTCTATTGCTCTTTTGCTTATAAAACAATTTCCATACTCTCCACTATAGCTTCCAAAAATATACATGTTGAAAGTGAGATCCATTAGCATACCACATTTTCTACATCTGGCAGTCAACTCACAATAAATCTCTTACCTTGTAGAAAGATGGAAGAGCACTGAGCTCATAATAGGATGAGCGATGCGTAAAATGTTCTTCAGCTGACTTCCCACGGGATTTATACTTCCCAAACAAGGAAGATGAGCTGCCTGCGTGGATGGAATACTAAGTGATATAGTCAGACAACCAAGGAGTTAGGAACAGTTTGGTTTCTTGTTTTTCAACTCCCAGACATCCAGAAGAAACTGTAAAACAAATACACAACAAGCGAGCATGTGTCTAAAAGTCATAGCATAAATTAGCTGGGAAAACACACAGTTTAAATGTGGAAGGTTAGCTATAGGCTCACATGTTTAAGTGAAATGGTGTAAAGAATGGTTTATTTCTTAGAAACTGAAAGGTTATTGCATATGTGTTAGGGATTTAAGAGGAAGATGCTTATATTAGATGACACAAATATTCCACCAAAAATATTGCTGTATCTGAATTACAGATAAAATGTCAAAATCATGCACTTTTTTTTCAAAGTATGATGGCCATTTTTTGTAAATGTCCATTTACAAAATTTTAAAAAGAAAATCTAAAAAAAAATATGAGACCATTTTGTATGCTCATATTCTACTTCGATTTCTTTCCTTTTTGTTTGTTTGGAGAGGTGACTATGCTTTAAGTTTCAGATCACACTTGTTTCTGATCTAAATTTAGCTCTATTACTTGTGTCATATTTCCTCAGGCCTGAGAAGGGAAATCAATGCCCCACTCACCTTTGGAAGAATTTCACTGCTGAGTCTTCACGGTTCTGTGGGATCCAATAATCCGTGGTTCAGTATCGATTTCTCTATGACACCTGTGGAAACAGCCTCTCCTTCCTTTCTAACAAAATATAGCAACAAAAGGTGGATAGTTTCTGAACAAATTAAGTATATAGGCTATTAAGCACAACTTTATCTCATAAGAAAATATGGTTCATATTTCCTGAAGCTATTAAGGTTACTTTTTCTGAACCACTTAACCACTGCTTAAAGATAATGTGAACATCTGTAATGAAAAGAATCCGAATGCATTTTCTTCTTAAATTTCTCACAGCTATATCGTTCATAGCACTTACTTCTCTAAGGAAACAGACAAATGGGAAAAAGTTATCCAATTTCAAATCCCAATTTTAGGGTAGCTCCAAAATCAAATTGCTTTAAATGTACAAAAAACCACAATCATACTTTAAAATTTTAAAGTTTGGTAAGATAGAAGGTCTGGAAAGGCTGGGTTAAAGTGTATTAGATCCTAGGAGAGTTAGGTGCTTGGAGGGTGTTTTTCGGCATGAGCCACCAGCTTTTCCTTGACAAACATAAAAACAAGAAAAGAAAAATATACCGCTGAATACTCCTATTAGCGGCATCCTTCACACACCTGATTTACATCACAGGAATCTGAGTCACCTTAGGCAGACTTCGTGGGGCATGCCTGAATAAATTCCCTGCAGCCATCCTGGGCTACTGACTGTAGTCACTAAACCTCTTCCCCACTTACTCCATCAGCCTTAGAATCTGCAAAATAAAAACATTCAGTGTTAAAAGAAGCATTCTTTCTGCATGTGCTTTTCCCTATAAAAATCCCAGGGAGGAGAGCACAAGGCAGGTTGTTTCTCGCGACGTAGGTGACATCTTGGTTAAAAGTGACATGACCAGGCAACACTCTGACAGGTTTAGTGTTAAGGCCTGACAGATATAAGCCTGCAAGTATACCCTCCCTGCCACACATAGTTACACTCACATGAAAACTTTGATTTGATAGTCCCTTGATTAGCTTTCCCATCAGTGAGTGCTACCGCCTCTCAAGTTCATTATAAATTATGCCACTCATCACATTATCATCAATTTAGGCTCCCATTTTACAAGAATGCAGTCATTTTAACCATTCATCAAACCTGTGCTCAATTTCTAGTTAAAGGATTAGATCAATCCACACTCCAGTTCTCAGGGGAGAAGTTCCATTGTTTATCAGGCCATGTCTACACTGGCTGAGCAAAGCGCTCTGTTCAGAAGGAGAAGCGCCTTTGGCAGCTAGAGTGCACATAGCTGACCCATGGATGCTTGGTCGGCGCTTCTTCACCTAATTACCCAAGTGTAATGAAATTACTAAACATTGCATGAGGATGACCCATGACAAGAAAAAAGCATGACAAGATTATGGCTCTAATGCATTTACAGAGCAGGCATTGAGAATGTGATTCAAGGAACTGGAAGAAGACTACATACCTGTTTCACAAATGATGGGTATGGGTATGGAAACACTCGATCACTCGATATGGAACTTAACTGCATTCCTTCTTTCTAAACAGGACAGTGGTGGCTTACTTTTTCTTAACTAGTTAAGGCTAAGTTTAAAACTCTAATGTTTATTTATGGAGCAAAATGTTCAAAACTGATGGTTTTGTTCTTAGAATAAAAAGGGGAACAAAGGTAATCAACATTTCAGAGGCAGTATTTACAAATTTATGACTGGTACTGTTGAGACATAGTACCAGCTCTGGGTGGATTCATCCTGAGCACTGCGACTCTTTCAACCAAATTTTAGAATTAAAAGAAGCTTAGCAGAAATGTTCTACTAATAGCTATTAAATTATAGGCTTTCCCTTCCATCCACCCAAACATATTCCACCCTGTGAAATAACAGATATAACACTAATCACCTTTGGAATTTTGCCAACCTTTCTTATTGGTGAGCTGGCAGAATCGGACCAAGCAGCTTTACAAGCAATAAAGTCTTTACTCCATGAATACTTTCTAAGGCCTTACTGAGAATCCAACCTGATTCTTTGGAGGAATCAGGAGTGAAGTTTTAAATGTGTAGGAATCTATCAGATCTGTAAGGTAACTGATACATTACCAATATCACCCCAAGATGAATTATAAAGGTTACACTTTTCACTCTAGTTCCCTAACCATTTGACCTTTGCAAATAGGAGTATTTCACACTTTCTTGTGTGTGTGTGTGTGTGTGTGTGTGTGTGTGTACTCATTCATGTCAGTATGTGTGTAGGTCATACATTGCATGTCTTCCTCAGTCACTCTCCACCTTGTGTTTTAAGGCAGTTTCTCTCATTGAACCTGGAATTCGCTGATTTGGCTAGACAGCAAACCCTAGGGATCCTCCTGTCTCTGCCTCTCCAGTGCTGGGATATCAGGTGTGTACTATATACCCAGCTTTTTATGTGGGTTCTGGGTATCCGAACTTAGGTCTTCATGTTTGCATGGCAAGGACTTTCCTGAATGAGCCATCTCCACTGCCCAAGATTCGGACTTTCAAAATAATTTTCAGTCTGCTTCAGTTTGGTAATCATGCCATTTATATGCTATGTTAAATCTCATTTGGCTTGGTGCAAAATTCCAACTTCAGGCTGTGACATGGCGCCATATGGTGGATCAATTTTTCACTTCACTCAAATGAGACACAGCCAAAGAATTCTAGAACATCTCAGAACTGCCTTATTCTCCATGGTTCATCTAACACAAGCTGCATTCTCCCATCTTCTTTTCCTATATACAATTTCTAAAAGTATCTAAATAAATTTAAAAAAAAAAACCACAACCACTATCAGTATCTGTGTCATGTGTTTTAAGCACATCATGAGGATGAAGACAAGAGCACAAATACCCTTACGTACTTAGCTCTGTGTTGGGCACTATTCCAAATCTGTGTTTGCATGAAGTCATTTAATTCCACTACAACCCTATAATATGGGGACTGTTGCCCTCCTTTTACAGATAGAATCACAGTGGCAGCAAGTAATTTGCCTTGGAGCGCATAAATTGTAAATGGTAGAACTGGGGTTTTGATACCGGTGGCCTGGCTCACTGCAGGGTCTACACTTATATTGCATGGAAATGTGTGCCAGTCCGAGCCATTGGTCACCCAACAGAGGGCTCTCTATTCTTGGAGATTTAAATGAAAAGGTTGAATGAAATAAGTTCTCCTGAAAGTAAACATGGCTCTGTGATCTGCCCTGACCACAAGGCTCATTTGTCTATTTGTCACTCATGAGAGCTTTCTTCCACACTACACCAGTGTTTCCTGCTTTCAGAGTAAGTTAGGTAATTTGCAAGCAAACCACATTTCCCCAGATCATCAGTAGGAGGTAGTGCTTACACTTCTAAAACTTAACTATAAGATGCTCACTAATGTAGAAAAGATCAAAGAAGAAACTAAGAATAAAATGACTAAATAGAACCAATAAGAATGTCATTTACCTAAATGTCGCTTTATGGAATAAGGGCCCCTAAGGTCACAGCCTGACTCTGTCTTTGCAAGCTAGAATTGCTATTTTATCGTCCTGTGATTTTGTTTCCTCATCTACAGAATGGGAATAAGGGTCACAAGGACTACGTGAATGCAAAATGCTTAATCCAGTGCAGGACAGAGAAGCAAATACTTGATAAGTGCATTCTACTGTTAATAATCATATTGAGTTTATGTGCATGAGCCTCCATCTGTGTCAAGACACAATTAAAAGCTGTCCTTTTGGTGTGAAAGCAGTACAGCTTTTAGAAACTTCAGCTGTGGTCACAGGGAATTCTCCAGCCTAGGAACAACTCCACTTTAAAGTTACATTACCATACAGCATTGTACAAAATTTTATTCCTTTCTATTTTGTAGAAGCACAGGCAAATTATGGCACATTACAGAACCACCTAACAAAAAAAAAACAATCAGACTTCACAGTGACAGAGCCTCACCTCACAAGCCAGGGTAGCTTTGTCTATGTAGTAAAATTGTTTTCTTACATCATAATCCAGATTTCAACACAGCTACTCAAATCCACTTGGCCTGGATAGCAGTGATATAATTTTAACAGCTGTGCAATTTGAGACTAGGAAAACTGCTTGCATGGCCTTCATGTCTGTTTCTATTTTGCCAGTTTCTCTTCTTGAGATCCTAAGTGCATAGACTTATGCTAAAGTCTCAACTCTTTGGGCCACATAAATTACTTAGAAATGACTGAGTAGAAACTTAAAATAGAAATTTGCATCCCAAAGGAGGAATAATACAAGTTTTAGGAGAAAATGGCTGGCTGGATGCCCAGTTGCCA